AGGTTCCATGCTCGGTTCGTCGTTCGGGTCAACTTATGAATAATTGCGATTTAGTCCCCGAACTTTCATTTCCTTCCATTTTGGTCATTTTCGCCTTTTTTCGCGCATATTTCATTATTTCCATCAAAGTAAACCTACAAACACAATTCATATTGAATTAAGCCTTATTCAAGCATTTATATCAACAATTAATCATGTTTTGTCGCATAATTAAGTGCACAAAACGCAATTATCATGTGCCTCAATGCGATATTTTTTAGGTTAAAAATCTGAGGCTCACGCCTCTAAATCTGAGGCTCATGCCTCAAGGCGCGCCTCACCACCGCCTTTTGTAGAAATTGAGAGTAGCGAAGATGAAGATGATGGGGAAATTAGATATGATGATGATTCCATTAACAATGCTAGTAATAGTGATGATAGTGCAGACTGCTGAGCTTTTTTTTAATTTAAGCTGCTTCTTTTTTTTCATTGCAAATAGAGTGATTTCTATCTTCTGTAATACTTTTTTTATTTTTTGCTAAACATTTTCTTTCTTTAAGTGGACTATATCTCAATATGTTAATGGTTATATATCCTATTTACTATATGCTCCAACTTTTTTTTTTTGTATTTTTGTATTATTTTATAATTATTTTACTTAGATTTTTTGTTTTTTGTGATGCTTCTGCCTCGTCTGATAAAGAAAAATCGCCACAGTACTTAGTTTTGCCTTTTTAAACTTTCATAAGCGTATGACAGTGACATTTGTTCTGCCCAATTGGTTTCTTTCCAGGGAATGTCCAGAAGAATGTAGGGAGGCTGTGGCATCTCTGATGTTTGCAGCCGCAAGGTTCTCTGATCTGCCTGAATTGCGAGATCTTAGGGATACTTTTCAGGAGAGATACGGAAATTCTATAGAGTCTTTTGTTAATCAGAAGGTAATGCTCCCATATACCGTGCAAAAAAGATGTAACTAGCATTATAACTTTCTTTTAAAATCCAAATTGCTTGATTTTTGGTTCAGTTTATTGAGAAATTATCTGCAAGGTCTCCCACAACAGAGAAGAGACTCCAGGTTTTGCAAGATATAGCTTCAGAGTTTTCAATAAAGTGGAACTGTAAGGGGTTGGAACAGAGAATTACTGCTCCTGCACTTGCAGAAGTGTGTATTTTAATCATATTGACGTTCTTTCAGATAAGAAATAAAGCGAAAGTGTACCCACTAAGTCATGGAACATTTTTGCATGCTTGGAGTGGATTTTTCGAAATTACTCAGTTGTTAAAAGTTATCCTCACCGTTAAACTTGTTTTAAATGGCTGCACCTGCACTTGCACATATGTGTTTTTGAATCATATTGGTTTGATTTCAGATAAGAAAGAAAGTGAAAGTGAATCCACTATTACTTTTAACTTTTAAGTCATCACTTCATGTTGTCGAACATTATTGTATTCTTTGAGTAGATTTTTCGAAATTTCTCAGTTATTGAAACAATAGGAGGGGTATTTATTAAGCCCTTGTTTGACATCCTTTATTTCAAAACACTTTTTTCTACATACTTATTTTCAACCACACACGTTTACACAATAAAATATTCTGCACGTAAACCAAAAACTTTTCCCTATTTTTTCTCTAAAAATTCACTATTCAAAACTTTGTTCTTGCCAATTAATTGCCATCAAACAGGGGCTAATTTGAATACAAGTAATCCACATATTTGAAAGTTTACGATTACTGTGTTAAAATTTGGTTATGAGAATTGACAGAATATTCACATTGCAATCTACTGGAATACAACAGAAGAATAGTCCTAATGTTATGAAGATAATTAGGCTCCGTTTGATTGGCGGAGTTTTCCAGGGAAGTAGGAAAATATTTTCCTACTTTCACTTTTTTGACTGTTGGATAGGCGAAATTTTCCACGAAAAATGTTTTCCTCTCAATAGGAGTGGCAATTTGAACAAAAAAATGGCTGCTCCTGCACTTGCACATATGTGTTTTTGAATCATATTGGTTTGATTTCAGATAAGAAAGAAAGTGAAAGTGAATCCACTATTACTTTTAACTTTTAAGTCATCACTTCATGTTGTCGAACAATTTTGTATTCTTGGAGTAGATTTTTCGAAATTTCTCAGTTATTGAAACAATAGGAGGGGTATTTATTAAGCCCTTGTTTGACATCCTTTATTTCAAAACACTTTTTTCTACATACTTATTTTCAACCACACACGTTCACACAATAAAATATTCTGCACGTAAACCAAAAACTTTTCCCTATTTTTTCTCCAAAAATTCACTATTCAAAACTTTGTTTTTGCCAATTAATTGCCATCAAACAGGGGCTAATTTGAATACAAGTAATCCACATATTTGAAAGTTTACGATTACTGTGTTAAAATTTGGTTAGGAGAATTGACAGAATATTCACATTGCAATCTACTGGAATACAACAGAAGAATAGTCCTAATGTTATGAAGATAATTAAAGATCTTTAGAAATTTTTTAGAAGTCTAAGTTGAATAGAAAGGAAGTCCTGTATATTTTTCTGTAAATGAATTTTCTTCAGTTCCTTACGATGTAAACAAATTATTTGTTTAAGAGAGTATGAGACGATCCTTGGGAATGGTTTCTTTCCATAGGCCTGTGAATTTTAATGTGGGATCCATTAGTTAGTGATAAGTGAAAAGAAAACCATTAATATTAACATGAAACTTGTCCTTCTAAATTATATACTAACATCTTTTCCTGACTAAACCGAGGTAAATGTGGAGATAGGCCAGTAGATCACCAGGTTTTAGCTTTCTATAACTGTTCCATGTTCTATAATTTCCAGGTGACAATTTCAGATAGGCATATCCCCAAACAGAGTCCTGTGTTTCTCGATGATGGAAACCAAACATGCAACAGGCGAGAGGTTGATGTTGTGAAAAGAAATGAGTTAAATCATGTTGGTGGGCGGGAAAAAGCTAGTTATTACAAACAGAAGTCACTTGTGAGGGGAGAAGATGGCACTTCTAGTGGAGGCCAAGGCATTTTATTTCATGGAAGGCAAGGATTGATAGAGGACAAGCATTTGAATCTAAATGGGAAAGATGATATTTTGCTGAAGAGAGTAAACAAAAGCAGTCCATCCCCTCAAAACATAGTGGAGAATATTGTTGGTGGCTACATTAGGCACAATAATGGTGTCCATACAAGAAAAGCAGAAACCATAGAAGCATCATCTTGTAAAAAATCAGATCTTTCCACTAGTTGCACGGGATTTCTGGAAAAAAGAGAAGATCTTACTGCTTCCCCTGATCATGTTAATAGAAAGAATTTGTTGAACTTGACAGGAAAAGAACGACTGGAAGAAACAGATCGGTTGAAATCCTGCTACAACAATCTCCCCCCTCCACCATATATTAAATCAAAAGATAATTCCATTCTCCCTCTTCCTCCATATACTAAACCAAAAGAAGATAAACATGGAGCCATCAGAAAGTCTAAACATGATGGTTCCAACTTTGATGGACATGTTATTGGCTCTTCTCCTCACCATAAAAGTAAATCAGTCAACAGCTTGGGCAAAAGTAACGAGGAACCAAATCAACATGATCGTGAAGGGAAAAGGCTTGGGCTCGTCAACATAGACAGTTATGGCCATGAAAAGGAGGCTGATTATTATCAGGATAATGCAATTCCCTTGCCGAAACTGAGATCAAATCGGAGGAAAAACCAGAAATCATCATCCAATCATGACAGTGTAGGTAATGTTGATGATTTCAGTAGTGCGAAGAGGAGTTCAAGTAGCAGGAGAAGGGACCATTCGAGAAAGGGGTTGCACGTCTTGTTTGATAATGAGCACGATAAAAACGATGAAGAGGAACATGTGATAGATAGACTATTAATCCATTACAGCAAGAAACCATCGAGTTATGATGCCAGTAAATCAAAGAAAAAGTTACTCTCTCGTTCTTCACATCAGAGAGCCATTCAGAGAGCTATTGATGCTAGTGAATTATCGCTCGATCAGAGCAGAGATGGACAAGATGTTGAATCAAAAATTGTTCCACAGCCTGCCAGATCGATTTCTCTTCNGTGCAAGATGATGGACACAGTTGCCAACCTATATCGCTTCGGCCACCGCAGCTTAGCGTTGCAACAGCTGTCCACAGAGATGCCAACCTATATCGCTTCGGCCACTACAGCTTAACGTCGCAATAGCCCCATAGAACTGCCAACCCACATCACTTCGGCTAGAATAGAATCTGATGTTGCTACAACTTACACCTTCTCGAGTTTCCAATTCGAACCACTTCGGCTATACCTCATTGAGTTCCCAGTCCGTATCGCTTCGGCTATCCGCCTCTAGGACTCGTCCCCGTGCATACCAACTCAAGTCATTGAAATTAAGTCCTTGTACTATATAACTATTCATACATGGACTTGCGGGACTATTGTTACGGGTCGGTGTCAGATCCTCCACGTCAACGCCGCGTGTCAGCGGAGGTTGCCCACCATAACACGCGTCAGCCGAGGTGATTACCCCATAGGACGATCTGAGTGCACACACCGAAGTGATTACATGAAGGACGAATTGAATAAGCGCTAGCGAACGAACCAGACTCATCCGCCAGCATATCACGGATGCAAAGGTCCGCACTCCGCTCCTATAACGTTGCAACGCCTCACCTGCCTCGCCTCATCAAAGATCTCTTGTACAAAGATCTTTCCAAAGTCAGATCACCGACTGATGGGACACGTGACAGAACTCAAATGGTCAAATCAGCTGCTCTTGTCAGAAACATTCAATGCTGCCAGCCTATAGAGGGATGGATTAATACCTAGGATGGGACGAACTCTAGAGATTTGGCAACACGTGTCTCCTCATCCAACGGCTCTCCTCTCCCCATCCTTGGTATAAATACTCCCCCCCTTATGCCTGAGAAAAAATGGGGATCCAACACTCTAAGAACTACTACTACATTGTGAAATTAAGTATTATCTTCCCTCGAATATTATTATTTTTTCGACACACTTTGTCAATCACTTCCCGGCGAGTGTTCCACCGCCGATGAACTCTTCTACGGTTGAACTTCAAACTGACTTAATCGTTGGAGTGCTCGCGGCCGCTCCCAACCTCTCCGGGAAAGGTCTCGAGTGACTAACGACGTGTCACGTGTGCAAGAAGAGCTGACTTGAAGATATTTTCTGTTGCCCACGTGTCAGAACCAATTTTTGAGGTCAACAGCTACAAAACTGGATTTAAGAAAGCAAAATTCATGCATACCCTCAATTTTGGGAAACACAAAAGCAATAATTTCATATCAATCATTCATCGATTGACCTTTTACTTTAGCACCAGTCTTCTTCAATAACGGATGCCTGTAGCGCATGGGACACGGGAAGTACGAAATGTATTTGAAGGTTTCGACGAGAAAGATGAAACATCAACCATGTCTCACTTATTCACGTGGCATCTTTCATATTTTTTAAAATATAGTTGCTAAAAAGAGTTAATGTTTTACTTATTAATCGTCAATGTTACTTTACGTGAAAACTTGTGTCATTCATGCTAGAGTTTACCCATACTTCAGTCAAGGCTTATCCCCCGTGTACATAAAGAAGCCCACAAGAATTGCATTAGAATACGCACATTTGTGAGGGCCCCACCATGTATTTAAAATAAAAATGCGCGGGACCCACACGTGTATATTCTGGTGAAATTCTGTGGGCTTTCTGTACATCTAGCAAATTTCGTCAGTCAGTTCAACAAATAAAGAAGAACTCTCTTAACCTAATAAAAAAAAATTGTCATTATTAAGCCACTAGTTGAGCCCCGTTCTTTTTAGGAAAATGTCATTTGTACACTCATGTACATCTTGTTTGACACTTGCTTTGTTTTAAAAAATTATTGGAGGAAAAACTTTTTTTAAAAAACAAATTGTCAAATGACAATTTACCATATTTTAATTTCACACTATTCAAAAATTACTATTTCAAAAAATGGTGTCGAACGGGGCTAAGCTGAACAAAGTGAAATAGAGCTTTTTTTACCCACTTGGGCCCAGCTGAGTTGACTGGTAAATAAGTGGCTACGGGATGTTATGTTTGACTTGTCAACCACATTACCTGCCTAATATGAATTCTAGATGGAAAATAGCAGCATAGGTCCCCAACGTTTGACTTGTATTCTCGATCTTTTATTTAATAGCACTTAAGTCCTTAAGAGAACAATTAAAGAGTATTATTCTTATTTTTAAATAAAAAAATAATTAAAAGAAAAGAAAATCTATTCAACTGTAATTACCGTCAATTACTTTGAACTTGTCTTGGGGAAGTTAAAGATTTTTTTTATTTAAGTTTTTGTTTATATTTTTTTAAGTACAAATGTACTGTACGTACAGAAACAAAAACACCAGAAATGCAATAGAATACTCACACAAGGGTGGGACCCGCTCATTTTTTTTCTTTTTTAAATACACGGTGGGACCCATTGCTGTCTCTTTTTTGGTGAAATTCTGTATTTTTTCTGTACAAATGACTAAAGTCTTTTAAGTAAGATTGTCCACTATATTATATGAAAGATTGAGAATGTGAATACTTTGTTTTGAAGAATGGAGATCAAAGTGCAATATGCGTCAAAGTTTGAGGAACTATGCTGCAATTTTTCTTTCTAGAAAGGCCAATAAATTCCTTTGGCAGGCGACTCTTCCGCAGCCGGCCGAGTCAAAATTAATTTCGCGTTTTGACTCTTCCTGTTTCCTTGCAATTGTTATATTAATTAATTTCAAAAATGATCGTTGAAGTTCGAGAAATATTCAAAATTGGTCCTTAAAAGTTTTTTTTTTTGGCATAAAGTCTCCAGGAAAAAAATGTCATACAATTGATCACTTTGTATCTCTGTTAGCCCATGACTTGATAGCCATTAAACCTTTTGTAGATTGTGGACTAACAACCATTATATCAATTGATTCCATAACCAACCTCATGTTTAAACTCTATCTTACTTTTTTGCTATTTAGTATTTACTAATGGTGAAAATTAGAATTGGAGTTAAATGGAGCAATTCAAGAATTTTTTAGTTGGTGCTCTTACTATCTAAAGGAGGGCGCGGCCGTCCTGATTTCAGATACTAGCATGGCCTCCAACCCTTTGTCGATGACATCTATATTGAATCTTTGGCATGGTTTCTGTTAGAGCATTATCAACACCCTATTAAAAAGGCTATCAATCTAATTCCCGAAATTAAAGTCAAGCTTCTCCTCCTTAAAAGGCTTGATGTTCTTCTCTCAAGAATCGTGTTTTATTTTTTATCTGCAATTTCACGAGACGCGACAATCCTTTATTGATCTCAAGATTTAATTGGAGACCACATTGAATGTGAATGACCAATTATTTAACAAAATTTAACTTTAATGACTAAATATATGAAAAATATACTTTAATTACCAATTTGAATTTTAATTGAATTTCAGTGACCATTTTAAAATTTAATTGTTATGAATATTACACGTGATTTCCTGTGCATTTGACACTAACGTGCTCCGTTCCTGGAAGCTTCATTTCTCCTTTCTCACGCGCCGCCGTTGGACTGCACAACTACATATACCATTTGCGCCCCCCATTTCCTGTTCTATTCCGAATCCTTCATTTTCTCTTAAAATTCATACCGTTGGTTTGAAAATTTGTTCTAAAAGTTTCGTTCCCCTATACCGAATCTATTGCTTAATCGAAGATGAATTCAATGTCGAGCGCTAAATCGTTCAGTTTCTCCATTATTGGATTTATTCTGATGGCACTATTCCAATACAGTTTCGGGCAAGGAATTGCGCCGTCGCCGGCACCGACTGGTCCTTCCAGCGATGGTGAGTATTTTCATCGGATTAAAACTGTTTGAAATTCTAGATTCGTCGCAATATCTTCTTCTTATTTAAATTGTTAAAATTAGTAAAAAAAATTACCAAAAAATTATTTGGTTTATTTAGGACAGTAATTAATTAAAATTCATCGAATTTTTGTTATGCAGGCACAGCAATTGATCAAGGGATTGCATACGTTCTCCTATTTGTAGCACTTGCGATTACATACTTATTCCACTAATGATTCTTTTTTTTTTATTTTTTTTGTGGTTGAAATTGTATTGTTATTACAGTTTTAATTCAATTCTTTTATGCATTTTCTTCTATTATTTTGAGAGCATAAATTGAATTATTTTTATTTTCATTTTTCTCCACTTGTAAAGAAATATATTCATTGGAGGAGTTCCATTAATTTCTCCATAATAATGCAATGTAGCAGAATGATTATGAAAGAAAAATAAGACTCCCCCTATTTGATTTAACTAAAAAAGTTTATAAGAAATCTAAATCAAAGTTAATGATTAATCGTAATCACACAAATGAAAATCACGAATGAAAGCAACTGTTCATTTAGGCAATTTTCACGCAAAGGGGGGGCTTTTAACCATGAATAGGTGGTTTGCAACCTCTGCCCTTTGTGTCCTTAATAACCATATCAAACTCTTACAAAAGAAGTATGTACCTTATGAGCCTCGGCTTTGATTTCAAGATTCTACACAGCTGCATTTGAGTCATATAATTCATCTAAACCCCACTAAAATAAACAGAAAATTCTGTACAACATGTAGAGACCCAAGAACGGATTTAGGATCGGACTACAAGTTAGTTTAATATGTGTAAAACATTAAAAAATAAATTAAAAAAATATTACACTGAAAGAATGAAGTGGGATGGGGACAAGGCTACAGCACGATTCGTCCCCCTACATTCGTCCCGTAGAAACCAAACCAAATCAAGGATAAAATGTGTATAAAAGTGAAGGTAATATCTTATTCATAGAAAATGCATAAAAGTTAGTGTTTGCTTTCTTCAAATTATTCCTTTCAATTTATCCAAACCAAATCAAAGATAAAATGTGTTAGGTTTTAGTTGATTTTGTAATTGGCTAATTCTGTAAACAAAATGATTTAATTTGATAGAGTGTCAAACTTCAAGGAGTAAAGTGCAATTTATTTAAAAATTAATTAAATAGGTTTAGGGTTTCGAGTTTGGAACAAGGAGAAAAACGCGAGCGGATTTTCGCTAGACTGTCGCCAAGGGTTGGCTCGAGTTACAAAAATAGAAATTGCTTCGCTGGACTGTTGCCCTTCCTTCGCTCGAGCGACAGGTTTATACAGAAAATTTTTATTTT